TGTGGCTAAAAGTGTCAGAAAATAAAGTAAAGATGATGTAGTTGGGTAAAAAGGGCCACTGAGCTAATATCTTTATCTCTTTTATGAATGGATAATTATATAAGTCCAACAGTCCTGATGAAAACTATAAATGCTGTTGAAGAACTATTTCCATATCCACCATATTGAAAATGTCTTCCAAAGGGCAAAACGCAGCGGCATGCTTGGCCGCCCAATGAGAGACAAAGGCTTTGTCAGGTTTTTTCCAGTCGTATTCCCTTCTCTAATCTCTCTTCATGGAATAATCATACATTTAATGAGCTGAAACAATGTAATTACGAAATTGGCACAGCCATTCTTCCACAGAGGTATTATAATATGAAATGTCCTTTCAAAAGTTTAATATTCTCTCTTGCACATTTTCATTCACTTGACATATTTCATTTCCTTTAAATAAATCCCCTCACCATGTTAAAAGGGCAATTAGAGCATCGGGCTAGTGAGCACAGCGAAGATTTGCTCCACTTGCACTTTACGATTCCTCTCTGTGACATCTTCTTCCTACTCTCGTTTCGTAAAACAAGCTGTGTGCCCATAAAAGTTTAGTAGTGCAAACTCTCTCATATTGCTGTGCCACAAATTGTAGTGCTATAAAGTGTAATTGTGATCCTATCAGCGTAGAAAAGGTGAACATTGACTTGCTCCCATCAATAAAACATTTCAGAGTTTAAAGATATATTGGCTCTCTTGGGCTCATCAGGCCTCACAATCCATTATGGAGGGCATCTTTTACCCGCTGAAAAGCTGAAGCGAAACGAGGTTGCTACTTGTAATGACTCTCAAAGCAGAAGCATTCATTTAGCATCACAAATAAGCTGTTCCTGATCATTTTACAGCCTAAGGCTCAAAACATATAAAACAAAAAAACCCAACAACATTTGTAAATACTTCAAAATGCAATATTTTACGCTATCTTATGTTGGGAAGGTAATAACTCATTTTAAATGTGAAAATTGTATGAAGACAGTGAACAAAGCAAAAAAAAGTGGCAGCCACTTTGACTGAAGTAGTAATTTTGGAAAGACATTAAAGACTCAGTGTGTCATTTTTTGACCATCATCTTAAAAGTGTAGCTGTGTTGTTGTATCATGATTTTCAGTTTAAGTAAAGCTGGAATTACAGTTGTGCATTTACTGGTTGTTGCTTGATGTGTGCTTCCTGAAAAATAAAACTACATGTTGGGGCTACAGCGCCTACAGAGACCACAGGAAGACCTCAAAAAGTACCTTTCTAAAATTTACCTTTCTATACAGTAGTTTTGATTGTGAGTAACGGAGTCCGCCAGTCTCTCCCTAAATATTTACAGTATTTACACAAGACGGATTCAGAGGTAACTGTGTTTTCATTTAATTCAGTGTACTGGCTTTTAATTTTATCACATTGACAACCCACCCACCGTTCACTGGTCACTCTCTAACGGCTGTAAGAGCTGTTTAACTGACCTGTATAACTGCTGCTAGTTAAGATTAAAAGCAATTATCTTGTAGTCACAGGAAGCTCAAGGTATTTGTCACTGAGGTTAGTGCTCACCACAATTGCTCACCAAAAATTCATACAAAACAAGACAGTTGAACGGTCAGTTTCAGTACTTTTCGCCAGAAAAGGGAGTAATGGAACAAGAAGTGCTTCTAAATGGATGTCTTTTCTTTAATGACGGTTGATATGGAGTCTTGACAAAAAAAACATTTGAGAACAGTATTGTGCACAAACATACAATACTAACCAGCAAAATACAGAATGAGTCAGTTTATATTTAGAGATTGTTTTGGTCCAAGACAAGCTTTGATTTCATTTTGTGGTTGTACAAAGTGCCAGTTGTGACACCTTGATTATATAAAACCAATCCCACACACTTATCCTAAATTATACACAGATTTCAATAATCTAAAATGAAGATAAAGAAACGAAAACATACATATCAGATCTCATGGACAAATATAGATGTGTGCATTTACCTTTAATTGTAAAATTTGTATTGGCCTCTGCTTTTCAGAGAGCATAAAGAGGGATTCAGTAGTTTCAGAGAGCATAAAGAGGTACAACACAAACTCTGCTAACATGTCAAAGTCTTGACTAAAAAAGGGGGGACTGAAACATTATTTCCTCTTTTGGCAAAGCTTTAGGCTATTCACTGGTTTCTAATTTGTTCTAAAACAAGTGTCAGTGTAACAAACCACTGTGGTTTTTCCCATCCTCTCATTTATGTAACAAGTGAGACTTTAATCAAAGAGGTGCTCTGTGTTTTGACAGTGTAATGATACAGACACAGAGGTAATGGCTCTCGTAAAACTCCTGACTCTGTGAAAGCACTTTGTTTCTCATTATACCCTTCTTCAATATGCTTCTCTACTCTCCTTTCCTTATTTCCTCAAGCCTTGATTTTCCTTTGTTTTTAGTCCTTTTGTATGATTTCCTATTCCCTTACCCTTTTCTATTCCCCCTTCACATTTTCTTTTTTATTTCTCTTTTCTCATGCTCACTTTTTGCCTCAGATATTTTTTTCCTTTCCTTTCCCTTCCCTTGTTTGCTTTTCATCTCTTTTGCTTTTTCCAAAGCAAAATTTCCTATCTTTTCTTTTTTTCACTTTCACTTTCAAATCTAATCTTCTGTTGTACTGTGTCTTTGATTTAATGGTTTCTCTGTTGCGCTTGTATTTCCTTTGTTGCATTTGGAGCAACTTACAACTTATTAATGCACTGTAACTACAATCCAACTGTATTTCTGGTCAATTCTATTTGTATTTTATTATGTGTTTGTTCTTTGCCAATGTAAAGCATTTTGAATTCCCACTGCTTCATCCCCTCTCTACTTCCCTCACTGTTAAGTTTAATTAAAAGCAGACCATCTTAATAGTATGTATCCTAACCACACATTGCCCAGTAATTTGATTAAGACTGGTTCTCGGACATCCTGGCAATTTCGTAAATCACTGAGCATCCACGAGATTGATGTCTGTTATCAGAACACTTTGTTTTGCATTTTAAATCCGGTGTCTAACTTGGTTGCTTTGCTAAACCTACTACTCTTCCTACTTTCCATCTGATGCATTTGGAGTCATCCTTTTGAGGCAAAGAACATTTTCCTCTTCTAGATCAGTGGCCATTGCAATGTTTGGCAGAGTGGGGCAATTCATTTGTAATGAATGGTATTGATGACTGTGTGTGGACTGACTGCCTCATTTCAGAAAGGTTCAATATTGTGTTAAGATATCACCACCTTTTATATATTCATACACACACACACACACACACACACACACACACACACACACACACACACACACACACACATATAGTGAATAAAATTGCAAATGGAACAATATCTGTTGATAATGTTATAAATAATGTGCCTTAGATCTACCAGTCTCATTCTTCAAAGTATAGTTTATATCCCTAATTGAATCCCACAGCATGTGATGATAAACATGCAGTGAGTAAGACAGCTTTTTTAGATGTTTATTTACCATGAATAAAGTAAACAAGATAAGCCATCTCAATCATAATGTGTTAAGTAGCTGAGAATATGATGAAAGTATGCAGACATGTAGAAAATAGTATGCAATTTTTTTGCGCCAAACTAAACTGAAAAGTTGGAAGTCCTGCTCTTTATTGTGTTTGGGAAAGTTTACACTGTACAGGTTACGTTACCTGAGTTAGAGTTACATTCGCCAAACACATTGGTTTGTCTTTATCCTAAATGCTTCTTCTTTTGTGACATTAAGAGTGAAATATGACAACACAGTCTCACTCCCTACTCGTCAAACGTCTGACGCATGGTCAAGGCCCTTTGTCGTCGCTTTTTAAAGACTTGGGTAGCCCAATTATTGACGTTTAGGGATCCACAGTCAACTTAGCAACGCTTAGCAACAATAAATATGCAATATCCAGTTACACTTTCAAGATAAAACGTAACGTTTCGATACATTGCCATGTTGAAACGCGCATAATTAAAGTCGTGAAACGTTGCAGTTTCGTTAGGTTTAGGCACAGAAAGTAATTGGTTGGGTTTAGGCAACAAAACTACTTGGTTAAGGTTAGGAAAAGATCATGGTTTGGGTTAAAATAGCTATGTATGTCAATTAAGACTTAAGTTAACTAACGTTAATGTCAATTTACCTCACCTCCCTAAATAAAAACATTTAATGTTTTGTTTCGCACGGGACACAAACCCTGTTCTCCTGCTTCAAGGTCCGGGTTCTGGCCCTCTATCCACCCCAATCACCTCCTTACTTCGTCTTTTCTCTTAAATATCATACTTGCCTTTACCATCAAAAACTGACACAACAGGGCTTCCCTCAATACGTCGAACTATGTCGTCAAAGGGATCCCTAGTGCATCACAAACTGACGATTATGGCTCTTGACCAAGCGTCCATATGTGACGACTTGGGAGTGAGACCGGGTTGAATATGAAGTATGTATGCTAATCAGCCATATGGCGTTATGCAATAAGGAATAGTATGGGTGCATGCTCTTACCATAATTATAAAACTAGGGCTAACTTTTTGCCAAGGATATGCGGCATTGGCCTCAATATTTTAGCATGATATCATATATGTAGCCATCAAGACACATTTTGTAGGGTTTTAATTTTATAACAAGTCAGCAGGAAACAGCCAACTCATGGAGCAAACTTAGCTTTTTTAGCTAGCTACAGCTAATAAAATCTGTGACTGCTGGCAATATCAGCTTTTAAAAACTGACAGTTGAAGAAGGAGTGTTGTTTACCTCTGTCTGTAATCAATGAGTCATCCACTGTTAGCATGTGGCTTCTTTGGTGATTAATTCAGTAATTTTGATTCTAATCCAGATGTCTGATAATGGTCTTTTGGTGGTCTTGGGAATGTAGCCGTTTTACCTCATTTTGTTGATAATGCTTCATTGTCTCAGATCACCAGTTCGTAAATAAAAAAACCCGGAAATGTTGTGCCAATTGGTTGATCATCAGTCATCAGCGACTTACCTCATTGGTTGAGAGAACAGAGTCTTCATCCAGACTGAGAACAGCATCAGTGAGGATGGCATTGTGGGGGAAAAAACGACTGCTCATTGTCTGAAGAGAGAGACACAGAAAGAGATGAACATTATTAACAATAGTTTATTAATGTAAAAATTCTATCAAAAGCAACACGAATTAGCCTATATTTTCTTCAAGAGATATTTTGAAGAGCCCCATGTGGCATTAACCCTCAGTGGTAACTAACATGTAGCCAGGTGTTTAGGTCCATATTTATTATTTTATAAAATTACATGTGGGGCATTATGTGACTTTTTTAGATAGAGATAGAGTCTGGACTTGAACCGGGGACATTGCTTTTCATTGCCCGTGTCTTAACCACTAGGCAGTGGGGTCCACCAATGTTCATGATTTCTTTTCCCTGAGATTTGTAAGTTCGTCAGAAAATATATTTACATCCATAAGCATTTGGAAGGTATATAGTTGGAAAAGAGGTATAAAAAAATCTAGGCAAAATAAACAGCCAATGAGAAAGTGTTTGCTTCACACCCTGCTGTGTGTCAATCAATAAACCAACTGACTTAATAAGTTCTGTGTGAGTCTTTATCAATTCTTTGCCTAACAGAAAGTGTAGTAGACCTTGATCCATTAGTCTAAAGAGGGCTGCTGATGATGTTATTGACTTGTAATTAAAGTGTGAATTATTCAACTGTTGAGCAGCTATGGTTCAGTTAAGGTTTCCAACGACCATCTCCTTGAAAACATACAAGCCAAAACTGAAACAGAGGGTTGAAGGTAAAGTTGTATTGTATTTTGCACAACAAACAAATTCAAACATGCATTTCCTGTTTTTGTGTGAGCAGATTTTACTGAACAACTGAGTTTTTCATTCATATCATTAAAATAGAACAATCAAAAGTCAGCAATGCTTATTAAACATGAAAGATACAAACTGAGTTTAGACACAGGGGATCTTTCAAGTTCTCTAGTATATGTAGGTTGAACCTGTGAGGCCAGCTGGACTAACCACACAACCTACAGTCCATGATGCACTTTAGTGTACCTAAGTAGACTACATATTATTTGTTCTTATGTTTTTATCTTGGTCAACTAAGATTTTATGTAACTAAATTGAACCTCCATGTTAACTACTGCTACAGCAGTGACATTTAACATGTCACTGTGTGAAATAAAGAAGACTGAATTTACACCCCCAGTTGTAATACTAAGAGGCTTATTTTGCAAAGTAAGACCACAAATATCCGCAAGGTTAATGTCTACTTCCATCTCAGCTTAATGAGTCATTTGATGCTAAGTGCAAATTCATCTAGAAATTATGCATAACATCAAACAAATTTGAACACAAATCCCCCAAATTCCTCCAATTATTTGTGAGTGCCACATAAAAAACTGCATTAAATCACTGCTTAAAGTAAAAAAAACAAACATTTTCTTTGGATGGATGCCCTACAAACAGCAGGCAGGTAATTAGTTCAGTCAGGATGGTTTTCATAGTAGTGTAACAGTCTCTCTGCTTTCTTGTGAAAACCACCATTACAGTGTATTTGTCTGTAGTAAATTGCCTGATAATCAGCTGCATTCATGATGGACGAATGGTCTGAATGTTATACATTCACTACATTTCCCAGCATCATTCAGGTCACCTTTACGTTTATTTCCAACAGCCCCTTGCCTATGTTTGTCTGTTGGGAGTCTCTTTGACTGTTTTCACTCTTTTTTCTCTTTCTTGCTCTGTAATCAAATGTTGTATCAGTTTGTGTCCATTTGCTGGTTCGCTTATCTAATTGATCAATGCCTGTTTATTACACAATTGATAAATATTGTATCAGAGGTCTTACTCAACATCTATTAGATGGATCAGTGCAAAATTTCGTACAGACATTCATGGTCCCCAGAGGCTGACAAAGTCAAGAGAAGCGAGCATAAATGGAATCATAGGTCAGTTTTATATATAAACATTCAGTTAAGAATAAATGCTATTTTCAAACAGAAGTGGATTGGGATGGGAGACATTAAATGGCTCTAGATGTGCAAACTTAATTGTTCATTATAATTTGTCGAAATGAATTCAGATCACATCCATTTTTAAATCAAAAAGATGAATCCAGTGCACTTTTGCTGGAGTTATACACTAATGCCCCTGTGTGATCTAAACACAGATGCTTTGACTTAAAATATTGCCCATCAGCAGTTGTGGTCCAGTAGACATCAGTGCTGGCACAGACCAAAAACTTCACAATGAACCCAACTGTACTGTATGTCTGTCTGTCAGTCACTGTCTGTCAGTGAATCAGCCTCCATCCCTTACTCTGGCTGGTGTCAATGGCTTTCTGCCTCTGGACAGAGATTAAATCACTGGCAGTTCAATTGTCTGAACCTGATCTTTGTCACCCTCTTTTCTCTCTTTATATTTGCCATGACTCATGCTACCTCAAGTGGAGTCTCTGGAGATATCCAGTATATCTTTATGCCATGGATATATCTAAATGTCTGTAAATTACAGTTAAAGTCAAAGATCACATAGCTATCTGAAACACCATCATAAACTATGGATAGTCACTTTCTCTAATGATGAACATTGTTATTATTGGTGTGAAAAATGATGGCACTTGTACAAAAATGCTCTTTACTATTTGAGTCTTTCTATGTCAGAGCAGGCCCAGACCACTTTTCTGATGTCCAATTTTACATTTTGCACTACATCTCAGAAATGTTCCTGTTTGTTGGTCAATTCATTCAGAATCAGAAAAAAAAAACTGAAATAAAATATTATAAATAAAATATTGCCTAGTTTCCATCCTTCCATTGTCAACCGCTTATCCTGCGTGCAGGGTCGCGGGGATATTGCCTAGTTTCTTCTACAATAAAATGTTGGTATGTATTAGAGCTGACATGGACTTTAATTTAAAGCTGGACAGACATATAATTTTAGATTAACAATGGATTAAATTACCTGTAATGTGAAAGGAGTTCGTAGTGATTATACCACAGAACTGACTCTCTTTCAGCTCGCTGTTTTGGTTTTAGGGCTGGGACTTTACTGTTTTACTTCATTCTCACCACTCTCAACCTCATTTCCAGGAGCAGCACGCAGCTGTTGTTAACAAAAATGCTCCAATAAACCCACTGCATAATATCTGCCTGGCACGAACTGGCTGACAGAGAAAATTAATGACTAGCTGGTAAAGAAAGTGGAACATTTTGCAGCTATAGACACAGAGCATTTCCTCAGGAGTTGGTGGAGAGCAAAACAGAGATACAAAGATTTGGGAAGGGACTTACATTTGGCAGGTAGTCATAAACACAACTCCAAAGGAATGGTAATGTTGCTCTGTGTCTCCTGGATGTGTAAATAGGCAACTATTTCCTAAAACATTAATCACAACAACTTTATATGGCAATAATTCTTACATACACGACATACATCAGTTCTACATATGCATGACCAAAAAAGGAATGTACTTTTGGTGTTGATAAAATACTAAATTTGCCTAAGACCGGATAAATCCTGAAGACATTTTTATTAGACTGGAAAGGATATTTTGAGGTCAACAAAAGACCATCAGTTCTACTATAATCTACTGCCCTGACCTGTTCAATCGGGTTTCAACATTAGGTCCTACTTTACCTTTGATCTTTTCACTTTTATGCTCCTTTGTTATAATATAAATGTATACTTAAGGAGTCAGGATAAATGTTTAAGATTTACTTATAAATATAAAATTGAGGGTGTGGGGGTAACACCTTTAATATTGAATGATGAAAGTGAAGGTATCGCCGACATATTAACAGTGATTGTCGGGAGTGTATAGGTCGCTCCTTCTATAATATTGATGTTTGGGTCGTAAATACTGAACAAGCAGAACCTCCCTTATAGTGAGGCCAAGCTATGAGTAACTTGACTCATCTGATCAACTATACTCATGGTATGCACCTTACCCACTGTGTACTAATGGTAGGTAATTCATTTAAACCTGTATGACCCTGATTCTCTAAGGGAGCTCCGACCCAACCAGAATCTCAAACTGTCTCCAAATCAGTCAACTTACAATCAAGGTTAAGTTTGTTGTGTAAGTATATTTACAGTCAACAATAAAAGGAAGGAACAGAAGCATGTGACAGGTCGGGATTTCGGGGGATTTCTATTGTGCATAATTTATCTTTCAAAGTAGTTGAAGCAGAAATAAACACATTGGAATGGGATAATTTAATAATCAAGTGGTGGTAACTCTCTGAAAAGCAACCTGTTGAAATTGTCCCTTACCTGGCATGTGCACCCATCTCTAATGCCTAAATGGAAATGATGCACCAGAAATTCCAAATGGATGTGTGGCCTCAAAGAAGATTTAATTAAAGTAGTAAAAGAGTATGATGGTAATCAAAAGAATTTAACAATATCATCACTTTAATCAAGTTTATTTTTTCAGACCTTGAAGGACAAGAAACCTATTTTGTTGGTTTTGTTTGAGGACTTGAAGATATTAACAAAATTTATTAAATTGTAGACATGGTATTTTGGGGACAGAGTGCAAGCAAACACTGAGTAGAAGTACAGGTAAGAGAGATAGGAAGTAAAAGCTTGCTGATGGAGTGTATCCACTTAACATTACGGAGTACATACACTCATAACCAACAGCAAATGACTCTACTGCTGCAATCTGTCGAGGCAAAACACAAGCTTTCTGTGTGTGTGTGTGTAGTTATTATAGTAGGAACAAACACAGTGAGCACTTGGAAGGAAATACACTGAAGAGCATCTGTCTGGGCTGCACGACAATATACCACAACTAATTATAGGACCATGGGCGCTGTTGGGTACCAGCACACACATGCATATCGCCTTTGAGATGCATTTTATGGTCACCAGTGGAAACACTTCTTGTATTTCAAGGGGGACACATTTGCATCAGGATTAGAGAGAGTTTGCCGTGTGTGTATGTCCGTGTGCATGTGTATATGTGTATGTGATGCAATAGAGTGCATTTTTAGGAAGAAGCTCAATTGTTTTCAATTGTGAAATATCATATAACGGCTGTGAGCTCCTCTGTGTGTGTGTGTATGTCAGCAAATGAGAACAATCCCAACAAAGTCACACTCCCGGTTTGAATGTAATAGCTGACAATCAAAACTCTTGTCACTTCAATCTCACCATCAAGTGTCTATTTAAACCAGAAATAACACTGCATTAGAATTTAATTACCACAGGAAAGAACATTTTCCAACACTGTACAATACTTCTTTATCATTCTCTGTTAACAGAGAGGCTAGACTGCACTATTTACATTGTATTCCATTAAAGATCTCAATATTTGCTTTGTTGCTCTGCTACATTTATGGTAGCTTTAAATACTTTTTAAAGCAAGGAAAAAAAACAAAAACATATATTAAGTGTATAAATACAGTACAATGTTAAAGATTAAACCTGTGGTTTACAAACTTTCTGGCTTCTGACACAAAAAGCACTGTTGTTGTGGCTCCTTTTCAAACAGACATTTCTCCTCTAAACTTCTCATATGGTTTATATTAAATGTAAATTGTTCAAATACGATAAAATAAATGCAAACTGTTCAAGATCCAACAAGGTTATTAAATTAGCCAATATTTAACAAAAAGATTAGATAATTAAAATATTATTATTAGATAGTGTTTTTTTCTTGTTTCCTCACCCATTAATCATCTTTTGATCTGAAATATTGTAGATATTTCAATTTCATTTCAACAGTCTGGCTGGACAGATTCCAGGGATAGATTGATGCTTTTTCTCATTTAAATTTGGTGATACACTGCTGCACCTGTTGCATTATGATCCTTCTGAGAGCTTCACAGTATTTACTCTGTATGATTTTCTTACTAAACCAATTTATGCATGTAGCCTAATGTTGTTTTCCCCATAAAAGTTCACATTTTTGTGCAAAAGACTTTCATATTGCTTTTGCAACATAGAAAACCACATCTTCAGAACCACACGACTTTCTCTCAGTAAAGCAATATAAAAGTGGATAGCTCAGAATTGTACTTTAGTCATCAAGAGAAGTACACTGACAGCACAGAATGGTATCTCGTAATACCACACTTCTTAAGTGCTGCTGTTGGTTGAAAGCTGGATTCGAAATGTATTATGTTTGTGCAAGGGAGGCTGTCCAAACCTGCCACAACAGATCAATAGGCCTAATTATTATAGGACACTATACAAAATATTATAGGAAACCATTTGGGAATGCCCGCAATAAATAAAACAAAATATATCATGGTGTCAGGAACTGGGAGACATGGGCTGTAATGTCATCCCTCAGGCACTTGGTGGGTGTGGGGGGGGGGCAACATGTCTGTGTGCAATCTCCCTTGGACAAGCTGTGTCTGACATGCACGGTCCATCAACAGTGGTAACTGAAATCTTTCCTCAATACTCACATGTCTCACACATTACAGTGGATGTACTATTTGTTAATCAGTCTCGTTTTTTTTTACCTGAAAATTTGTGAGCTGTTTGGTTGTGTAATGGGTAAAGCAATGCCCACTTTTACAATGATTACAATCACAATGATTTTGGGGGTGATAGACAAGGTGCACATTTTCCACCCTAACAGGTGTGACAAAACTTTGACATTGAGGGAGATGTCATTCAAACACACAAATCCTGTGGAGAAGTTAAATCAGCTAAAATAATTGAAAACACCTGTGAGGGGAATCAGGGTCTTTAAAATCCATCTGATTATACTGATTGAAAAACTTTGTATTTTCAGTACAGATCTCAATTATAAACCCCATTACTGTGGGAATTTCTGAAGATTTAAGAAACGGTTCTGTGGAGGCCTCTTTAGGAGCAGCACCAGCAGCTACAAGAGTTACAATGCAGATTTGTTAGCATACAATTTGGGATGAATTTTGGTGCAACATGGTCACTATGATTACTGTATATCATCAAAGTATCAGCATTGTGATTACAACAGTACTCGCAGGCCCCCAAAAACCAGAACCCGGACACATGTAAGCAATCAACGGAACAAAAGACAAAGTATTTATAACAATTAATAAGTGCCAATTGGTTCAGAATTGTCTGCAGAAAAACAAACAAACATGCTCAGTAGACTGAGGACTTACAAGAATGTTAATAGAAGCCAAACAAAATCTGTGGCACTCGGCAGTAATAAAGCTAATAAAAGCATTTCATTTTCAGTGACTGTTCATTGAAGTTAAAACTGACTGATACATTTCAGCCTCAATGAGCCTTAATCAGAGTCCACTCTTGTTTTTCTTTGGGTTTTAATATAACAACAACCCACACGGGACTGAACATCTGGCCTTCTCAAGGGTATTTGCTTAATTTCTTGAACAATTTATCATGAAGTGAAGCTCTAAATGGTGAATTCCTCCCTGCGGTTATTGCAGAGAATATTAGCTCTATTTTAGCTTTCTCCACTGGTGAAGTTGAGGTTTTATGATTCAGAATGTATCTGATTTATCTTAAGTTTAACTCCTCACTACAGATATCATGTATTTTACCTCTTTATGAGTCTGGGTGAATCCTCAGGAGATATTTTGACTATTTCAACCTACAAGGTTAAAGGGTGAAGGTAATCAGGCTCCTGCTGTCACATCCCTCACCACGTCCTATCCTCTTAGGCGGATCACAGTTAATGTGTTGAAGGCTTTAACATCTGATACGTTAATGCTTTAATAGATATAAATCTTCCATCTCATTGGCTTCTGCAATATGTATCAGAGGTATTTTTTCCAGCAGCTACTTCTTACAATTGTTGTATGGAGCTCTTTTAAAGCATTTTTTCACTTTTTAAAAAGGAAACAAATCATCAAACAAAAAAAAGGCTTACATATACTGTGTTATGGTTACAGTGTGAATGTGAAGACTATGGGAGCGCAATTGTGCTATTCCTTATGTTGCATAGTTTTAGAGGTTTTCACTTGGTTTTCAAATATATCACTCATGTCCCAGGATATCTCACCACAAGGGAATTCCGAGGGATGCAGCCATTTCAGTGTGTTGTTAAGGTGGTTTGAAAAAATGGATTATTTTTCTTTCATAGTTGTATTGTTAAGGCAATCTGCACTCGCTGCGGCTCTGCACCCCCGATTTGGAATAGAGGAAAGAAATATTTTTTCATACAGTTTTAGTATGAAAAGTAAGTGGATAAAAACACTAGAGCTGAAAGGTTATTCCATTTTATGAAACAACACTGATTTAAAGTCTGACTATATGATAAAGTTGCATGGAAGCAGTTTGCAGAGGCGTGTTTATTTTAGTACAAACACAATCCTGTGATATGAACACACAACTATCACATGCTAAAAATCCTAAGATACCAAATTTATTTATGTATTTTTCCCTGGAGCAGAATTTGACAAGAATTAAATACAAGCAAATCAATTCCTGGTGTTAAATCCCACCACTCAATTACAACACCCACCAACCCTTTTCTTGACGGATCTGCGGGTTATATTTTTCTGTCATTCTCTGAGCCATCTATTAGAAAATCTCTTTTGCATTTTTTTCATCCTTCCTTTGTAGTGTCTTTCATTTTAACTTTGTAGTAACTGGAAAACAGCTAGAAGCCAAGGGTTGGTGGTACCTTTGAGCAAATCTGTTTTATAAAGGTGAGATAAATGTCTTTATTGCTAAGCAACAAAATATCTTTTAATACATAATGGATGCAAAAAGCCAGCAGCTGTTACCTTGGTCTGTCCTTCAACGACAGTGAGAGGCACGCTGGTGGAGGGCCACTTGTTCCTAGGAGGTAAAGGCTTTTCGCAGTTCCATAAAATCACAATCTGTATGGGAAAAGAAATTGGACTTGGTTAACATTATGTAACCATCAACATCAATATACATTTGTTTCTGCATGGAGGTTTTTGAAAAAGCTGATATCTTTCACAAAGTGAAGTATAAAGATACACTTTAGCTGTGTGTAACAGTAAACTTATAGTATTCAGTAAATTATCTTAAAGGGATGCAATGTAAAACTACTGAATTCTTTATCAGTCACTTTGTTTCATCTGCTGATGTACTACATTTATTCATAGTCTTATGTCTTTTCTGGGCTCAATTCCCTTATGTGATAATTTTAAGATGGATTATATATTGTAAATACAAGTTAGTTAGGCCATGTTCACGCTTATATACTATTATGCACAGAGGTCAAACAAGTATGTGTAGTCAAAAAACACAATGTTAGCAGTACGGCAGAGTATAAAGGCCAACGTAAAGGAAAAAAATCTAAAATTATAAAGGATAAAGTCAAATGGTTTGAGAAAAAAGTCAAAACAATATGAAAACTATCTGATTTCTTTTCACAGCCAGTTCATCATAAAAATGTAAAAGGCATAATATTAAACACAATTAGTAAATATTTTGATAATACAAACGTATATCTAGTTGTATTCTCATCAAAGTTTATTACCTGAAGGGACAAAGGAAAAGGAGGATGCATAGAAGAAAGCGAAAGAGAAGAAGCAGACGAAGAGAAGTCTTAACGAAAACATGAGGCAGTTATAAGTGATAAAATATCTACACCTCTTGATAACGTGTCTGCTGTTTGTTTGGCAGCTCATATTTAATACCAGCACCAAATTACAGTGAGATGTAGACACACTTCCCACCTGTGCACAGAACTTGGACTTGGCTACAGCGATGATGAGCTTCACCACAGGGGAGATTTGGGACTGCAGAGGAGTAACCGTATGGATCACAGCCGTGAACTGCTGCGACGGGCTTTTTCCTGGACACACACACACACACACACCCCAGAAACAGTGGTCATGGGTCACCTGTATTTAGGGTTTTAACACAGATTTGTGCAGATACAGCTCTCCATAAAGCTCCATTATGGTTAACTGGACACAAAGCACTCTGTGCTGCACCCGTCATCAATCTTTCTGACAGGATATATACCCCTGGTTCCCATGACTGAGCATGAGTAAACATGTCTAATCCAAGGGTTTGCTTTGTGTCTCTTTTAGTGAATTGTGACTCATGTGATTTGTACCAGTAAAGAGTAATTGTATTGTTTACAACCTCACAATAAAACAGATCTTGTTAGTTACATGTTTTGCATTTTATTGAGGCAAACAAATGAACCAAACAGGACAAAAAGAAAATTATGAAGCGGAACCAAACTTGAAATTACTACCTTCGATATATGATAGCCAGCATATGGAACAACGGGTAAATGGGGTTGAGGAAATTGATTCTCCCTGTGGCAGCCTGTGCCAAAGAAATAAATCAATAATATAAAGGCATTGGCTCCTACCATTGGATTTTATTCTCTGAATACTTTTTCTATTCTATTAGAAACAAATCCATTCATGCCCTACTGTATCTTTTAATAGTAGAAAATACAATGCAAAACTACAGCCCTGTTACATGACATATGTAACACCATTCAGTGTGTTTACATGCACACTAATAGATTATAGTCAGATTAAGGTGACACCCCAACTATGTAATACCTTGTTTTGACATTGTAAACAGCATTATGTACATGCTTGGTGTAAGACTAATGTGATAAGCACACAATCATTGAATTTATATGAAAGAAAAGATCACACAAAGAGCAGGATATATCTAGCTCTTAATGTTCCACTGTGTTCTCGCTAGTCGCTAAATAAGTGAGTTGTTTTTGCTGATAACAGGTGTCTGCTACTGCTTGAAACTGATAACCCAAAGCAGTGAAGTTGTGGGCAGTAAAACCAAAAAGATAAGTTGAAAGATGAAGAAAAACATTGTGTGGGTTTGTCACTTCAAATAACCCCTCTCGCATTACACATTTTTATCATTGTTAATTTAAAAATATTGAATAGTGCAGCTTTTTGAAAACAACTTAAAAAGTAAATGCCCGTATGTGAGATGCTCAAAATACACAATATGTAAATTGGGGCAGATATGGGAACACACATAGTACTACACACGTAATATTCACAACAACTAAAGAAGGCCAGGATTGCAGGCACATGGCATGCCCGGTGTTAGGTGGGTATGGGAACAGGGGAGTACACATCCTCATGAAAATGGGCGCCAGAGTGCTCTTTAGTGTAGCTCTATCCATCTCTCTGACACTGGGCCCCCCGACCAGCCATCTCAGGTGGGCTTAGCGGTATTTGTGTATCACGAGGGCTGCCCTTGTGGGGGGGGGTGTCACAGAAATAGGCTGAGTCCTTTTGCTTCATCTGAGCTTTCTTGGAAGGAGCTATGCCACCTTCATATTTATTAAACATATGCTTCTTTTATTACCAAAGTGTTTGCAGACAAATTGTTCTGCCAGTTAGAATCAATGACTTTTTAGTGAAGGTCTCACAAAGACCACTTGCACTGTGGGAAGTGTGGGACTCAGCATTTTGGGAGATTTACCTGTATTAAGAGGTAGTAGTCTGTAAATAGTGGCCTCAGCAGCAACATCAATTTTGAACATTCTTTTAAAATCTGCCTCTCTATGTCCCAAAACTTTACATCTAAAGATTTTAAGTCAAAGGTAACTGGACTTGCTTTGGATTCTTGAAAATGTTTTGCCTCCCTTCTTCAGTTCTAATTGACTGGTGGGTCATTTGATCTGTTTTGAACCTCAGTGGGGTCTTTCACACCTTGAGAGTGGTTAAGCTTCACGTGCGGGTCATTAGTCTTCCCGGCTGTAATGTGAGAGCTGTTAGAGTGACATTAAGTGTGAACTGGGAAGGGATATAGGGATATTGTAGAAAAAGAAAGAAAGATAAGATGAGTAAAGACGATTTAGCACCGTGGATATAAAAAAAGAGAAGGTCTGAGCATTTCAGGACCTCGGAGAGAGACTGACTGCAGCCGGGTCTCAATTCAAGGGCCAGAAGTTTTATTGATTGAGCCTTAAGTTTGAAAGCTCACCTTGCATTTTCTCATTAAATGAGAGGTCTTAACTTCACAGACTGCAAATGTCCTAATCGTGTCCTTTACCAATTGCAGTTTACATTGACAAATGCTTCCAACACCTCTGTCTCTAAGAAATATTTGCAAGTCTTATCTCTTTCCTGCACGAGAACAGATGATTGTGTACATATTTCTATTGAACATTATCTAAAAAGAGGAACAACTAGTATATTTTAAATGGACATTGTTTTTCCTCCCTTTTCTGGTGAGTGTAGCCCCATTATACCTACTCTCCTCTGTAAAGGTTTGTCCTCGCAGGTCCTGTAAAGCCCGTTGAAAGAGGATTGTGGAGTTATTGGCTGGTGAGGGCTGCTGACGTGTGTGAGTGTATGTGTGCCAAACCAGCCAGATGCTCAACAAGAAACACACACACACACACACACACACACACACACACACAGTCTCAAGTAGCTCCACTGCCCACATAACGGCACAACTTTGCACAAACAAAAGTAAAGATGTAAATCAAATCAAGATATTTTTACAGATCCTGAGGCCACTACATCTGAGCAGTAAGTCAAACATTTTCCAACTAGCAGGCAGAAGTTGCGACTGCTTTGCCATCAAAAGTTATGGGAAGGTAGCAGAGTGAGACCGTCATACACACAGCTTTGATGACAAGTTATTCCCAGAGCAGCAGCACTGGAGATGGCAGCAGCTAAATTAATGATTTACTGCTGTGACATAAACCAAACTGCCCCATCTTTCCTTCTATCCCTACCTTCTTCTTCCCTTAACCCTTGTGTCCGCAATTCCTCAGAGAAAGACAAACATCGATCTGAGTTACAGCCTCAATCTGTTGAGAATCACTCAGTCTGAATGCATATCTATACACACACCCACGCATACATGTAAACAAACCAGGCCACTTTCTCCTCACTCTTTGCCTCCAGCTTTAAGTTTCCGAAATCGGCTTCAACAGCAGTCTTATAGCAAGTATATATTATTTTTTTTAGTATTATTTCTAATGAGATTAATGGACATTTATTCACGATGTAATCATAGATAAGGATATCCTTTGGAAGTGTAAGTCATGCTTAATCTAAAAATATGCATATAATACACCGTTCCGTGCACCTCTTGCGGTATCATCTTTTCACATGTTTATGTATTATAAATATTTGGTGAAACTACAAATAGCAAAAAACAGCATCTAAGCAAGCCCGGGCAAACTCCTGATTTGACAAGATCAACACTTACCCAGTATGGCATAGTAAAAAGGGAACTGGGCAGGGTCAGTTGAGTATTGGGGGAGTGCATAGAGACCACCAGGTAGGGAATTCCACAACAACCGACTTCTGGACACATGGGAGTCCACACGATCCTGGATAATCTGATGGAGGGGATGGAGGAGAAAACATGTGAGGAGAAAGACAAGGAACAAAAAAAGTGGTCGAGATAAAAATGAAGATAAAAATTAAAAAACAACAACAAATACACAATAGGAAAAGATAAAAGGTAACAGAACGGGGACAAAATGGGAGAAAACACAATGACGTGCAAGTAAGGGGAGAGAAAATAAATTAGTCTTCCTATTTGGCTCTTTATTTCAGACACATGAAATCCCATTTTTAACTGAGTTGACTTAAAGGTACCAGTCATTCAGTATCCATACATACACATTCTGTATAATACCATATAGTATCATGTCCAAAGAAAACATGATGTTTTGGAGAGTGTGTTTTACAGAACAGCGACAACCATAAACACACGCAATTTTTGGAATAGAAGTTAAATTCATAGCAACACACAACGCAAAATTAATCCTATCACTATTGTATTTCTATTTTCCATCATTATATCTGATCTAAACACAATAAATTGGCCATATGAGCACAAGGAAACATCATATGGATGATTCAAGCCAACACAACCTTCCTCACAAGGTCTTTACACACTCTTCCCCCTCCAGACATGCAATGATATTTGGAAATAAAAGTAGCCAGATGTTTAGCTGCAGCTGGTGCTTGGGGAACTCTCTAGAAGGGGACTGACTCCACAGAACAAACTTGAGATACTTGACCTCCTTCACTTAGGGCATCAGCTTGCTCCCAACATGAGGAGTCCATTAGTTATTTAGCTAATATTATCCATCTGGCATGTTACCAAAGGTCAGCTTAGCTGGTTGAGTGTTGTAAGAGTGAGTCAAGTCTTCAGGGGGCCTTTCTAGAAAGAACACTGACACAACATCAACCTGCTGCTGATCAGTGGTGAAAGTACTCAGTTTACTGCATACATTTTTTTTACTCAAGTAAAAGTACAAGCCTAAGTATGAGACTGTGTGAGTGTGTATGTGTGTGTTTTAAGAACATATTTTTCAAAATAAAAACCTTGTGTTTAAACAAGTGTCAATCATAATTCAACGATAAGTTTAAAAAAATCACAGCCACTTTTGCAGTTTTCACTTATTAACACCAATTCCCATTAATTTCACCACAAAAAAGAACATTGCAACTTTCATCACAATTTTTTAGAAAAGCTGCAACAATCACAAAAAAAGTTTTCCTGTTTAAAACTAACAAAAACAAAGCATAATCATGTTCATCCCATAACCATACCCATGTGTTTATTATTGTACCAATGATAACTAAGGTCCCCTAATTATAGCAAAATATTTATTTTAACTAAAACTGTGATGTTTCCCTAAACCTAACCAAGTCGCTTATGTGCCGATACCTAATCAAACCTTAACCAGAGCACCACTGATCAACAAAAACCTGGTCTGAATAGTGCAGCATTTCACTGTTATTTTAAGGGGACATTAGTAATATACGCCTAGGCGGGGGCACTACACATGTACTGTCAAGTTCTGTTATGTTTAAGACATTTTCAGCTCCTGCCCATACTTGAAAATGGCCTGATTCAGGATTGAAGGACGCAAGGGACAACTCAATTATCTTCTTATTTGTTGTATTTTATTTCCAGTTCAGCAGTAGTAGTAGGGACAATATGTTGATAACCTTAAAATAAACAGCAACAAGCATATAACTTATTCTACTATATGTCTTAAATAAACACATAAATTGAAACAAGCATTGCATTTCCTTTTTGTAACAGCAATCACAGTACTATGAGCACTATTCATTCTAGCTCTATCAAAATTAACTTAAATTTATAAGAAAAACCCTCAAATATAATCTGAGGTTTAAATTCAATTAATTAACTTAAAGTGGTGAATCCATGAGGGCTTAGGGCCGTCCCACTGTCAAATCGTCAAGTGCGCGAGGGCTCTCTTGCAGACATTTTGAGCCCTTTTTAGACCCTTTTCGTGAGTATACATTTCAGACTTTGCCTGAGGGAATTGCCCACAGTTTATAGCGGTATGATGTGAAAGAAGAGAGAAGAGAGAAAAAAATCACGGCAAATCCGTGTTATTAGATGAAGAAAAACGTAATCAAACGAACATCGACATCAATGCTGATGCTAAAACCTGTCCCTCCAGAACAAACAATTAACTTTTGGTTCCTTCCTAGGCACTTCTTTCCCCTTATGTGAGATTATTACTTTGACAAAACATGTACATACTTACACAGAGGGACATGCAGCAGCACACAAACATGCAAGAGGTAAAAATCTAAAGATTACAATGTGAAAGATTATTATTGTGTACATTAATATATTTTATATTACATGTTATTATGGTTATTCGTTATAATGTTCAGATTTACATAATTGCATAATTGATTTAACCTTCTTTGGATGACTTTCTGATGTGATTTGTAAGGATTTCTCAATAGTCTCTTTCTTTCTTTCTGGATTACTGTCTCTCTGTGGATTCCAATCATTATAATGTTCTGATTCACAGGATATATTGGCGCATAACGTGCAGTAATGGGACATCATGGACGGACATATGCATGTATTCTCATACATGTACCACTCACCAAGAAGAAATTTGAGATATGAGCAACCTATGCTCCTTGCTGTTTAGTTTATTTATATTTTTGGTATTTTGGACATCTGTTTATTGATATTTTTATACTTGCACATTAATTGAAATTATGTAGCTTTCCACTCTTTCCTACTTTGTACTGCAAATGCTGCACTAACAATTTCCCTCGAGATAAATAAAGACCTCATCTTATCACAGAGTGACAAAAAATTGTACTTTTACTTAAATAAAATATGTTATTAACATTTTCAACTATATATTTAACAACTTTTCCCATTTAAATAAACAGAATAAATAAAAACAAAGTATGAAAGAACACTTTTTAGGCATTGTGGTTTTCTGACAGAGAGAGTATCTGGAGAATTGGCTTGGCACTTGCAGCTAGCTCTAAACATACACACACACACACACACACACACACACACACACACACACACACACTCCTAACACCAACTGTCAGGCTCGCAGTATGTGGTTCACTACAGTTATCAACAACGCCTCATTTCACCCATTTAGCCTGGTGGCGTGCTGGCTCTGAGATTTTAGCACATCTGGCCAGCAGTGTATGGCTGTCAGTGGGCTTCTGTTTAATTTCATACCCTGCTAGTGCTGGACATTTGTTGGTGTTTTCACTGTGATTTTAAGAGAAACAAATCCTAAAATGTTTAAATTATTGATCTGAACATAAATTGAACATACATGTATCAATATTTGTGGTCTGTTGATCACCCAGTCTGTCAGCAGGGTCCATATTCAATCTGAGTATGTAGTCTTTGATCGATAGCAGTTGGCTGCTTGCTAGTATGACACATTCTAATCCACTAGAATGGTTGCATTTATGACAGCTTCAGGCAAGTACAGCAAAATCCTTATCTTAACTTCATATGTCATAGTTTCAGTTCAACTTAATCTTTATCTTTGGATCTTGTGTCTCTTTCCTTATGATCTGAAAACGGTCAACATTGAAGGTAAAATTGATTAACCTTCTTCATCCTGATCAACTGAAGCACCAACTATTAAGTTACTGAAGACTCAATTAAGTTGCCTGACCACTGATGTACGCTTCTAAAGGCTACAGACACACAAAAAAAATATGGGGACCATTCATGCATGGTAACTAAGCTACACAACCAAGTCTGTACTTTACTATATTGAGGAAATACAGCTTGTATATGGCAGTAAATACATGTTTTATAATATACATCAATATACATTGGGTATTTTCTTATTCTTTGTTGTTTATTTTTTGTATATCTGTGTTTTCCTTTCTGTGCAATATGTATTGTAAAAATATTGAAAACCAATAAATATATCCAACCAAAAACATAAACAAACAAACAAACAAAAATAAATATACATGACTTAATGTGAGAGTGTGTATATTTTGAAAGCACAAACAGCACATTGTTTCTCTAATAAATGCAAGTTAAACTCATAACCAGTAAGTCCTTGCTCAGTGTAATACATTCAGGGGTTTTACTGCTATAGCCTTAATTGTTCTGGTATGACCAGAAGCTTATGGTAGCTGATGTTAGCAAACTTTTGTTAGATAATGTTGTGTAAATTCAAGCCAGTTTGCTGACAGTATGACTCTTCTCTACTTGTGCTACTATATTTTAGCATTTAACATTATCCTGTAATTGCTACTTGTTGCCTTAGTTGCCAATGTTCAGCTAAAGTTACACAGGCTTGCTTTAAATAATGAAGCTTGATTGCTGGGTTGATTGCGCTGAGTTTAATATACCGCTTAAAGGCACAATCCATACTCCAAATGTAAAAATGTAATTCACAAAAAAATTTACTAAAGGATTGTAATAATTGAATACAAAGACCAAATTAAAGACTAAATCTAAATTGGTAAGGTGTTCTGATGCAGTGAGAGTGGTTTTCCCCTCAAACTGCTGATTTTACATCTCTTAATTGCAATTTTTCAAAATATGTACTATATTACACTTCAAAGCCACATGCTGAAAAAATTCTACAACATTTCAACCATTACACTGTGGACAAAACACAGTGTCTAATCTCATTGTCATGTGTATGTAAATGACTGATGTCCAATGTTATAACAGAAATATATATCAGATGTTGGTCATGACACTACTCTCATCTGAACAAGCCTGAAGTTGAGTGATGATGGTGATTTCATTGTTATTGCAATGACAGACATGGTGACAGAAAGCAATGGTGGTAATGATTTCAGTATTTGAGGTAAAGGTGATGGTTGCAAACAATAATGTGTGCTGCAAGATATATCATAGCGATTGTATTGATGTTTATGTGATGCTTCTGCTGCAGATGGTGGTAATAAAGAGGATTATTGTGTTCTGTGTCTGTATTTAAAGATGCTACAGAGAGCAACGACTCATACATGAATAAGTTCACCATCTACACTTGAGCTACAGCGAGGTCATGTAAGCCTCTAGCTTTCTGGTCTTGGGAGCAGGTATATACACCCACACACACATAGTGGAGCCCCTCTAACCTGAGGGCTGCATGACAGTACAGGCCTTCCCATGTGGCACTTCACACTGCCTCTCCCGCTCACATTGTATTTGGATTTCAAGAATCAAAATACTTTATTCCAGTGTTATGTTAAAATCAACGTTACTTTTCTTTGTCAAAGTTTGGATGGCCATCTCCACAGCCTTCCACTCAGCCCTCACACATCTTGATAAATACATGAAACTAATTGTCAAGCTTAGCAAGTACCACAATCTGCAACTGGATGTTGGACTTCCTCACAAACAGACCCCAGATAATTCGAATTGGTGGTGACACCTCCTCCACTATAGTACTCAGGCCCCTCCGGTTCACAACGTACACCCACAGACAGCGACACCACCACCATCAGCAGGATTTCAAACAATGATGAGACTAACGTTTGGGAGGAAATCAACTGTCTTGCAGAGTGGTGCACAGAGAACAACCTACTTCTCAGCATCAGCAAAACACTCCTGTCTACAACAGTGGAGCTGAGGCGGAGCAGGTGAACAGTTTCAGGTTCCTGGGAATCAGAATCACAGAAAATGTCATGGTCATCTCACATCTCAAACCTTGTAAAGAAAGCTCAGAAACGGCTGTATTTCCTAAGGAAACTTAAGAAGGCAAAAACATTCTTGTTAGCTTTTACAGAAGAGCAATAGAAAGCATTGGTTTGGGATGTGTATGGACCAGGAGAAGAGGTCTCTGCAAGGAAGCAACCTGGTGATTAAAACTGCCCAGAACTTTATTGGTACCCATCCACCAAGCATCAGCGACATCGGAGAGGTGAGGTGCCTGCACAGAGCCCAAAGGTTACTAAAAGTCAGTACCCACTCCAGCCACACCTTGTTCTCCCTACTGCTGTCTGGCCAGAGATACAGAAGTATCGGCTGTCATACCACCATACTTCAGAGCAGCTTCTTTCCTCAGGCTGGGAGACTACTAAATACATTCTCTTACGGCCTGCCACATTACTGTTCCAGTTTAGTGTTACTGCTCTGATTTTTGATGTGATGAAATGACTATGTGCAACCTGCCCAACACCAAATGGCGAACAACCAATGTTAGCGAAAAGCTGCTGAACATAGTAGAGCATTAAGCAACTGGTGGCATTGATGGACCAAAACAGAGGTAAAAGGGGAGTAAATATTATTAACTTTTTCTTCTTCCCCCAAGTGGCAAAAAAACAAAACAATTATGCTGCTTTAAACATCACCATTTATGGATTGCTGTTGAGGTTGTGTGTAAAGATTTAAGTTTCCTAAGAAAATATGACCTGTTTGTTTATAAAAATTCTAAAATCAACAGCTGGCACTAATCATATTTCCCAGGTCATTAGACTGGATTCAAATTATGTCACAGCTACCTCAAATCTTCAAGGGTGGACATGTGTTTTGTGTGTTTTGAATATGTATTAAAGGTGACAACCATGATTTTTATGTGCAGACTGGTAGTGTTAACTGAAGATGTCTGAAAGCTGGTTAATAACGCAGTTTTGTAAAAGGCTAAAAGTGGCCAGGTGCCCTTGAGAAAGACAAATAACCCCCAGTTATAGTTTAGCTAGATGCTGTGGTTATTGTTAGAAGATAGAATTGTATAAACATGAAGCAAACATTGCTGGAAAAAAGAGGGCACTTTCAGCTAACCTTCGGTTAACGGTCAAAAAATATAACTGACAACTGAAAATTTCTTTTAAAACTTTATGTCCAGGAGGTGACTCCTAGCCAGCAGCAATGTACAGTATAGAACAAGACGTAGCAGTTTGCTTGATTAAATAAAGCTCTCCTGACAAAACTGAATCCAAAACTCCCATTAAGGCAATTTCTTCAAGCTTACCTCCAGTGTAGTTAAGACGATTTTGGCTACAGAAGAAAAGTAGGCGTCCCAGAGGAACTGAGTCTGCTGGCGGAGAGCCAAGATCCTGTCATGGCCCACAGACCGGGTAATGGAGGGAACCTGGAGAAAGAAAAGCAAGAGGACAAAAATGACAGTGGGATAGATTAAGTTAGATTTTTAAACAATGTTGAGTGTGGGGATGAGAATCGGTGTGTGGAGAAAAAGAAGTGTAAAGCCTGGCAGACAGGTAGAGGAAGCAGAAGTAATTTTGTGGACATGCTCAGAAGATCAGAGGAAATTCTTCCTTCCCTGGTCACACTTGGTTTCTTTTTTTCTTTTTTTTATGTGGGTTTGGTTCAGTTTGCATTCATACTGACTTGACATGGAGGGAATTTCAAACTCCCTGCTTGCTTGCTAAATAGTTTCCACATACTTTGCCAGCATGTGTTGTTCAGGTGTTACAGCTGACTCAGGTTGGTTTCTTGTTCTTCTTGTAGCTGGTTTGTTGGTTATTATGACAAGAAATATCATGAAGATTGCCCTCACACAATTTTGTGATGTTATATGTTTGCTTTTGCTTATAAACTAGCTTCATGAAATCTTTTTAAAAAACACAGGCAAAATGGCACAAGTAAATGGGATTGGGAATCAATCAGTTAGTCTATAAAATGTCAAGAAATAATTAAAAATGCCCATAAAAATTTCTGGAGTCCAAGGTGACGTTTTGATTCCTGCTTTATTTGGCTCCAAAGATATTCAATTTACAGTGATACAAAGAAGAGAAAAACACCAAAACATCACATTTAAGAAGTAATTTAAGTAACTGTAACGAGCAAATATTTAGTATTTTGGCTAAATGACTGTTGATCTACTATCAAATCTGTCACCAATTAATTTTCTCTTCATCAATCATTTTTGCACTACAATGGAGCTTATATGTTAACTCATTCCAGTTGTTATTACTCCTGTAACATAGTATCGAGGACACACATCGTGGGAGAGCATTCAAGCTTCAATGAGTCAACATTTTCATCTCTGTAGTGTTGAAGCACCTTGCCAAACATCATACATTGCTCCAGAAAGTAATAATAATCATGATTCATTTATTTTATTTGAAAAGTGACAAGAAATCAATCAAGTTTTGTTTTTGTGCCTCATCCTGTTAATCTGCTTTAAAGGATTTATGCAACGGCAATGTTCCAACAAACTCTGCAGATCTGCTTGGAGCCCAAATACTCTGTTCGTGTTGCACCAGAGGCAAATTGAGGTCCCAGCTCACATTGTCATGGAAGACATGAGCAACTGGCTTTTGGCATGCAGCAGTAACACCCTCGGGGAGAAGCAGTGGATGGATGAAATCAAGGCAGACGAGGATCCTGCCAACCTGACCATCCTGATGGAGGAAGATGGAGCAGGGTGCTCTCTTGATGCTCAGTTTGGAGAAAAACAAACTACCTCCTTGATGTGCTCAGACATGACCTTAGCTGCCCCTCTCAGGTTGATAATGAAGCTGAAAAAGGAATAAGCAGCCTTACAACCAATATTTCTGAAGAGCCTCATCTGCCGTCAAGAGGTGGTGGATTTAGAACCCAAGACCCTTCTGGTGTTCTGGCCACAAACTGAACACCTCTTCACTGATGGTTACAGTGCCAACCTTTCAAACATGGCCATGGAAAAGCCACTGTGGTCTAGAAGACACACGGTGACTGATGGTGCTAATATCAGCTTGTCAAGAACAACTAGAAGTAAAACACCAGTTGTGATCCAGGAGAAGGTTGTAGACTATCAATCAAAGAGTCCTAAGCTACTTGAGCTTCTCCTCAAGTTGTAGAGCTTCATGGAGCCTAATGAGGAAGCTGCAAGCAAGAATGAGCCTGTCTTTGATGTTTGCTTTTTTTACTGATTTTCCACTGAAAGAGTATAAACTAATTTCACTTGGATTTTATATCCCCACACACTCAAATGTTGCACTTTTTCAAAAATAAAGTTCAAATAAATCAAAATTAAAAGGGAACCCATGTTGCCTATCCTTACATACTTTGTGGCTGTGGTTACAACAGATTTCTCGCCCATTCATTTCTATGAGGAACAGGGTGAGATGTCAAAGCCGTGTTTACTTTGCACCAAATGGCATCGTCAAATTGCTTGTTTTGTCTGGCCAACAGTCTGAAACATGACAAAACACAATAACTTTCCAGTTTTGTTTGTGAAAAGCCAGAACAGTCTGGAGCTCAATGCTCTAAAGACAGTAGAGATGGTCGCAGACTTTAGAAAGAGCCCAGCCCCACCCTCCCCCATCATCCTGTGTGACTCCCCAGGCACCGCTGTGGACTCCTTCCTCTTCCTGGACACCATCATCTCCCAGGACCTCAAGTGGGAGCTAAACATCACCTTCATCACAAAGAAGGATGTACTTCCTGCGGCAGCTGAAGAAGTTCAGCCTGCCAAAGACAATGATGGTGCACTTCTACAATGCCATCATTGAGTCCATCCTCACCTCCTCCATCACCACCTGGTACGCTGCTGCCACCACCAGGGACAAGGGCAGGCTGCAGTGTATCATTCGCTCTGCAGAGAAGGTGATTGGCTGCAATCTTCCTTCTCTTCAGGACCGGCACACCCCCAGGACTCTGAGGTGTGCAGGAAATATTGCAGCTGACCCCTCCCACCCTGGATACAAACTTCCTAGGCAGGAGGTTGCGGTCCATCAGGACCAAAACCTCTCGCCACAAGAACAGTTTCTTTCCGATGGCAGTGGGCTTCCTCAACAAGGCCCGGGTCCCCACTGTCAGTGACTCTCATGCCCCCCTCCCCAAACTCACACACACCTCATAGACTCTCTTGACCCCACACTTTACAACAAAGCTCAACTGTGCTTTATGCTCATGTTACCAACTTTTGCACATACTTGTCAGCATTGTCTTATAGTATTATTGTATTTTTATATATTTTTTGTACACTTGTAAATTGTTTTTGAACTCCTTACTTTTATATATTTATATTAATATTTATGTTTTATGTGTACTGTAAGCACCAATTCATACCAAGGTAAATTCCTCATATGTGAAAATGTACCAGGCAATAAACCCAATTCTGATTCTGAAAACAAAACAGTCTCAGAAATCCCTTCATTCACCATATAGACTGAAGACACACTTGGAGGTTGTGTTGCTGTTGACGTCACTGGGATCTGTAGACAGCAGAGCGAGGTTTAATTGTTCAGCTCTCTGAGGCGGAATATAAACAACACCAATCAAATCAGCTCAATTCTCTTCCCCTCGATTGACTCTAATAGTGTTTATGTTTCTCAGCAGGGGCATTGTGTGTTTTTGTGTGTGTCTGGGCATCTGTGTGTTGTGCATGTCTCCTCTCCACAGGGGGAATAGAAACGCTACATATTAAACAGCCAGGTATTGCAGTTCTCAGTGATGTAATTGAAAGTAATGAGATTCAACTCTCTCGGCAGGTGTTTGAGCTCCGATGTGTTGAACAGTGTGTGAGTGTGACAAAGAGACAAAGAGGGCAAGCATCCAGAATCTGTTCACTGACCAGAAACACGCTCTTGTTATTATAGTATTTTTATAATATTTTACAGATGTTGTAATTTAGACCAAATAATTAAATGATTTATTGTATAGTGTATTTAAATGCATTTAATGACTTCTTTTAAGGTGTTTAGTTGTGCAACGAAGCCCAAATCCTGAGCTGGAAAGAGTCTATTGTGACACTTCCTTTCCAGAAACTGATGGAACTCTTGCCACCTTGCCAGCTGTCTCAGTACAGCTGTAAACAAATTAAGCACCTTCAAGGTGTCCTCAAAGTATGGAAAGCTTAGTTTTATAAAAAAAAAAGCTTACAAAGAAGCACACAAGTTTATCACATGTAAAACACCTTTTCACGTCTAATAAATCAACACATGGCAAATGAGTTATTTCGGCAGTTTACATGTAAAAATGTCAACAGATATATCCTGCTTAAACATGAATTTTTGATGTGCTTTGGGGGTGAAAAGTAATATGTTCTTTGTTGAATTAGTTTATCGATTCGTCTATTGATTATTTTTTGGATTAACCCATGTATCATTGAGTCTATAAAATGACAGAAAAAAATGAAAAGTATCCATCACTATTTCCCAGAGCACAAAGTGGTATCTTCAAATTGCTTGATATAAAACTGAGAAAAATGGCAGATACATTTGAAAAGCCTGAACCAGAGAGTTTGCTTACATTTTTGCTTGTCTGAAAAAATAATGTATCATCAAAATTGTTGCATAAATCGTTTTATTTCAATCACTAATGTATAAATCATCTAAGTGCTTTAGCTTTAATTTAGTCCCATTTGGCTTCTGTATTATGCAATTTAAATGACAAATACAATTAAAGAACAGGGAAGAATATGAGAAACCACAGAGCCACTGTACTGAATTACACTGTTTGATAGTACCATTTAATAAGCAATAAATGCAGCTTTTAATCAAAAATTGTTATTTAAAAAGGCAACTGCCCAATTCCTGTTCCTCCAAGTTATTTATTGTTTTCATACAGGTGGTAGTAAAGGAGGAAAACACAACTAAACAACAAACAATTTTCACCAGGTTGGAGGGTTTACATGTGACAGGTCATTGAGTGTGTTGCTCTCAGTGATCAGTAATTATGTCAATGTTAAATTGACTCTTAGATAGAGAACTAAATGTAAAGACAACATGCACCAATGGAGTCACTTACACTCTGTGAAGACACATTCAGGGTTGCCAGCAATCCAAGATCTCCAGTTATGCTGATGAAACAGCAAAACTCTGCAATTTGAAAATGTGGTGAAAGTGCAAACCCCCAGGTACAAAGCTTTGAATGAACTGTCACTGCATTGCTGACTAATGTGGCTTTTTGTTTGGGGCTTGGAGCAAAGCATTTTAGTGCTTTTTAAACTGTGTGCTTTGTATGTTGCACTTGTGTCTGCAGAATGAGCAGGAAATCCGAGTTTTGCTGTTGTAAATTACCAGCCACCTTCTAATATATATCATTTTAAATAAGATTGTCCAAAACTGGGGCAGCAAGGCATTTTTTAGGGTTGGCAGCTGCTAGCCCATGCCACCTGGTTGCTCTCTACGTCATAAGATGAAAAAATGTGTGCAAATCAGTCATCATGTGATTGATTTATCGTGTTGTGTACTAACAAATGTCAGGTCAGGTTTTATCCTGAAAGCCTTGGAATTATTTATTTTTCATCCCTGCCTCTATATGTCAGCACCAAAACTAACTCTGTAATAAATGTGTACACCCTCAGTGTTTTTAACCCCGTCAAAACATAATACTTGCTTCACACAGATTATTTTAGCCAGCAATTAGCAAGCTTTTAGATAGATGGTTTTGTTCTGTTGAAGGAAACAAACCAACAACAAAACCTCTAACACCATTACTGCATCATTTTGCGTCTCAGTAATGTTTAATAATAAAAGGCGGCTTTATTTCTTCTAAAAGCCAGTTTGTTTTTAGGCTTGTGTATATATTAATTAGGCTTGTCTTGTCATATTAATTAAAGGGAGACACACATACTGTCCCCAACCCTCAACACACACACAAAAACACACACATTCAAATTTATGTTATGTGTTATGCTGTCCAGAGGGCAATACAGGTCATGCAGGTGGCACCTAGTAATATGGAGGGTAATTAGAGATTGTAAATATCACCGCTGCCATAATTAAAGGGAACAGAAGGAGATCAAATCCATCTTAGACAAAAATAGTTCCTGGAGGAGGTGTGAGTGACTGTGAATATCACAGCTGTCGTGTCAGAATAAAATACAATTTACTACATATAAAACACATGGCTGCAATTAGATTTCTCCCCTTCTCTCAATTGAACTGAAAGTCTAGTCATCATGTGTGTTGATAGGCACTAATAGCCAATTATGCACTTTGTGCTGCAACTCAGGCTTCCTGCTTTGGATAATTAATGTTTTCCATCCATTAGTGAATTTTTCCTCAGATTCTGTACCTGAATACATGTGTAAAATTGCTTAAACATTCAAATCAAACTGATGAATCTCTTGTTGCAGCTCTATTTGACGACCTATTGTTTTGGGGCACACATCTGTTCCCAATGAGTTTCACAGCAATTCCTGATTTATGTGTTATATGCTTCTGTGTTTGTCTTTGTGATTGCTCTCGGGGATCTTCCCAGAGATCCCTGAGGGATCATCGGGGAAGAATTTGGCATTTCACCATACTGGCACTGAAAGGGCACATTTTATCCTTTGATGCTATATAGTGTGAGGAATGTTTGCCTTATTCATCCAGGTCACTAACTTCCATCCACATACCTTCTGTAATTGTATATGTAATAATCATTTTATTTCTATCTATCCCTCAATGTCACTTCTTAGTATAGTCTTTTTATAGCATTTTCTATTCAGTTTCCAGTATACTTTATGTATACATATATAATATATTATACTATATTCATTATTATATACTATTTAATATACTATACTCATACTATATAATATTTTATATGTGATATATTATCCAGTACAATATTAAACTGTTTACAGCTGTTAACAGCTTACATAATATACTACATCATATTTCTATTTTGATACAACATGAAGTATAGCATATTAGATGGTATTTTATATATATCAAATATTACATGCTGACTTTGCTGCTACTAATCACACCTATGTCACTTTGCTTGAGACCGTACTGCATTATAAGATGCCTTGTAAATTTGAATTTAATTGCTCTTGTACAGTTAATATTTGCATTTTATTTTATCTACTTCTAATTATTTATCTATCTACTTATGTCTGTCCTTGTGCTGCTACACGACCTGAATTTCCCCTCTGGGGATCAATAAAAGCTTATCTTATCTTAAAACCCATCCATTCATTCAAGCATATATCCTTCCAATCCCTCCATCATTTTTCAGTACCTGTAACAGCAGTCTCTCATCTCCAATGATGGCGGCTTTCCTCCAGTCGATGACTTCAGAGAAGGGAAGCTCCCAGCCGTTGCTCAGAATAACAGGGATACAAGCCGCCTGTTAGGAAAGAGACAAGTCACACTTTTTGGGGACTGGAGTTGAGTAAATGAAAGTGGGCAGAAATTTATGTTTATGTAATGGAAGTAAGAATAGAAAGCAGTAGTCCACACTGTTCAGAATGATAAAACAAAATTGAATGAGTTATTGAGCCTACCTAATCATTCTAACCTTATGTGTGTATACTTGTTATACTTGTCTATATTGTTGAAATGAGATGCAATTAATAGGTTTTGCTTTATAGTAGTCGTAACAAAAAAAGTAAGAATTTGTTTCTGTTGACAAGTGTTCACAGTTTGACAGAGGGAGAAAAAAAGTTTAAAGCAGAGCATTGGGAGGGATCTATTTTTCCCTCCGCTGAGGGATTTATCCTCTTAGGTAGTTTATGTCTGATGAGACACTTTCAAAGTGTTCCAAGTGAGAGTTTTGCAGGAACAAATGGAGTTGCCAAAAAGATTAAGGACGAAATGAAGAGTATTTATTTATTTTCCCTGTATGCATCAATATTTAGAGAAATCATTAATGTGAGTTTATTCATCAGGAGCTGTTTTCATTTCTCACAGCAGCTCTCTGTGTTGCTGTAAATTATTTTAAGATGAGGCTCTTGAAACTGTGTTTTTCAGTAAGATATGCTGTTTTCTAGATCATTTTTTCCACTTTACATATTGTATGCCTCATCTATAAGCCTGTGGTGTGCTTTCATTATATTTACATCTGCAATTATATATAATACATATTAAATTAATTTAAATGGGAATTAGCCAAACCTTGTTTCTTATCTAAGAAAAACCATGGATAACCTCACACCATGATAGTGCTGAATGTTAGAAGTATAGATATACATATGTAAAACAGGTGTTTTTATGGTGAAGGGCCAACATTTGCCATTAAGCGTAAAATATCATTGGCTGGAGCCAATCCCAGCTGACATCGGGCGAAAGGCGGGGTACACTCTGGACAGGTCACCAGTCCATCACAGGGCGCATGTACTACTAATAAATGCTAATACGGGTTTTTCAGAAAAGAGCCCAGGATGTCACATGGCTTCACTTTAATACTGTATGGTAGGTTTTTATGTTTAGTCTCAAGTAGTGGAGCAGTGTCAGAGAAGAATGAACAAAAATTCAATAAGTCTGGTATTTTCATTTAAAGTTCAAGTTCGACTAGATTCTCAATCAAGTGAAGCTGAGAGATTAAAGGAGATTCACAAAATGCCGAGTGCATGATCAGTGACCTGTCTGCGCAGATTCTCACTGCTTTGATTAGTCTGGCTTTGTGAGATGACTTTCTCTTTTTCGTTTCTTGTTTTCTTCCTCACTGTCAACCTTTTACATGTCTCTTTGTTTTTCTGTCCTCTCATCCACTGTCCTCTGAATTTTGATGATTCTCCTACCTTTGCATATGGGACCTTTTCTCTTTTTCTACCTCTAACAGGCCTAAGTTCCTGAAAAAGCCATTAAATAATTTAAATGCATTTAAAATAAAAGTTTAACGAAAAGTATTGCCCATTTTTTCTGCCAATCATTCTTCCTATCCCTTTCTGCATCTTTCCTAAAAAAAACCTCCTATCTTTTCTAACGTCACCAGAAAGCTCAGCCTCTACTTTCTCATTACTATTGAGTACAGGGAACATTATGGTGCCAGAAAGTGCCAAAAACAGACTACAGAAAGGTTGGTGACACCTATGTATTGTTTGATTGTTTTAATATATAATCTGACACATTTACATTATATTGTTATTTTATTATTGTGAATAAACAACAAAGTAAAGTAAATGTGCTATAATCAAAGGAGTCAACTGATTTTACTATATGCCAAGGTGGTCCACTCATTCTTCTAGCTAAACAGCTAAATGGTGAAATCTGTTAGGTGGGGTTAGCGATTCAGGAATTCCATGACATATACCACGATATAGAACAAACAACGACACAGCATGTAACCGACGTTAGCAAACTGTCGCTACAGTAACATGCAGTGAAAACGAAAGGGTCCCAGAGCCTGCACACTAGCTCCAGACAGCGATACACCTCCAGTGCTGCATTAGCTAACATCACAACAACAGCACATCTGGACAAACTAGAAAGTAAGCTGAATGTCCGTGGGAAAGCCATTTAGCATGGTCCAATCCACATTTACAGAGCCAGGGACTGTGTACAAATACCAGATTTATTTTCAGCATACACACAGAATGGACAGCTAGCAGACTGTGAGGGAGATATTAGCTGCATTTGACAAAAAAGATGTGCATTGTATTAGAATCGCTAAACCCCACCGTAGGACTTTCCAAAATATTCAAGAACACTAAAGTACTCAGTAAAAACATGAAATACAAATCCTTCTAGCTCTAGATGAATCCTGAAGGTGGAAGCAAGCACAACCTATTTATTCCTGGTGTTATATTTATTCCTAAGTGGGCAGTCTGTCCTCAACAGAATACATAATTGGAATGTGAGAAAAAACAAGAAGGAAAATAATGACAGCCAAAGGCAGGCACAGGGCATAGCCAGATACTTCATGTCAAAACAACATAGAGACAGATAGAAATAATGAAAGATGAACACATCTGTGGTCTGAAGATATGTATAAACGTCCTCTTTCTTTTCTCTGTGATGCATCTCCAGAATCAGGCCTTTTCTGCTGCAGGGAGATGACAGATCTGTCAATAGTAATAAGATCAGGAGTTGGTAAGAAGAGGCCGAGGAACTCTTTGGTTCCATGTAGTTCCCAGCAAGCTGAACTAGCTTTTACCAGTAATCGTGGGAATAACACAATACCAATGTCATGTGAGGAGGAGTTTGACTGTTTTTAGGCATAAAATATAGAAACATAACAGAAGGTTTAATCATTTCTCCACCAGAATTACATCCTGATAGCGTGGAGAAACATAGCATTACAGCATTTAGACCTTCAATTTAGGAGATAAAAACTCCAGAAAGAAAAAACTGAATATTAATCAGTTAAAAAGAAAGAGAACAAAATTAGAAAGATGGTGTATATTGGACATTTTCTACAGCAGATGGTGTTACATTTGGGAAATGTGGACACATGACCCTAGTGTGTCTAATCTTACAACTAATAAAAAAACAATGACCTCTGAAAGAAAAGGTAATGAATATGTAATTTATGTGCTCAGTGTAGATAGGGTTTGTTGGAAAGTCCCGCTGAGGGTGTTAACTTTAAATTCAATAACATGGTTTTGGATCTGTTAACATTAAACACCCTTGCGCCCAGGACACTTGACTTGTGTCTCTTTTCACAATTTTGCAAACAAAATAGGGAAATAACTTTTTATAAAGTCTCAGTATGTTTAAAACAAAGAGCATGTCAGATTATCTCGTTTGAAACACTTCACAATTTTACTATGGTGGCAGGCTTTTTGCCCAGCCTTCACAATGATGAATACCTGTAACTTTAGATGTACTCAACACATCATAAAATGTAGTTCATTTGAAACATACTGCCTGTAGTATGTCCACACCTTGCACACACACACATAGATATACAGTATGCATTCACACATGTAATAATATATATATTATATTTAAACACACACCTGCAGGGCCTCCAGGAAGCGGAAGGATCCAAGACGTCGGCCCCGGGGCACCAGGCAGAAACTGGAGTTGTGTAGCAGCTCCTGGTAGTCGAACCTACACAAACAAAATTTAAAAATCTGGTTAGAAGATGAGAGAAGAATACCTGAGCAAGCAAAAGACTGCGAAACCAAGAAAAAGTACAAAAGGAAAGGGTTTGTTACATTAATCAACTTTTCCTTGTGTACAAGCTCATCTAATGGGCCACAAGAGAACATTATAAAAAAAAGACTATAATCCTCTGATTTAGAGAAAGAAAAAAGTCAGAGAAAGGGCAATAGAGAGACAAAGAAAAAGCAAAAGATAATCAACCTTCCAACAAAACGCTCGTGAGCTCTCATGGCTTTTTATAATTATAAGGTCTAGAGAGCTGTAAGAAAAAAGCGCAATGTGAAAAGTGATAATCAAACACGTTGCCATTTCCTCAGTATACACACCCATACAATTCAAACAACAATCAAAAGTGGCTTTCTTCTAAATGGTTAGCAAAGAGTTTTTCAAGCGCTTGATCTTTTTCATAAAATGTGTTCTTGTAAAAGGCTGAGTGGTAGCTTCTGCACATCAAAAGATACACGGTGAATAAATAATGACATGTGATGGAAAAAAAGCAGTTCACAGCTGTTATATAATCAAACACCAGTGGCCCTTTACACACTTCATCTGATCAAGATATGTCAAGAGAGAATCCTCCACACAGGGTTACCTGTAGTGAAGGTTTCTCTCGGTTGTGTTGGGGAAAACTATTGATCTAACAGTATGGGGTGACAAGTGAAATCAATGCGAATATTTGAAGGCCAATACTTCAATGATAAAATTATTTTAGTGTGAGCAGCCCCTATGGAAGGGTGAGGCAAGTTTAACTGAAGGCTTAGCCGAGTGATGCTAGCATGACTGTAAAGCTTAGAGCAGTCCATCAAAAATCTATTTAAAATAGTAAACACTCTCTCCCTTTAGCTTGATCCTTCATGGAGGACAGCAGCCTGGATTTACAGCAGTAACAAGGGATTTCAGCGGTGAACCTTGGTCATGGCTAAATAATGCATCAAACCTTATCAACGTGTCAATAGAAGCTCTTGAAACCATCCCTGTAGTGTAATGGCGGTTTCAAAATGCACAGAAGCAAATAATTTGCACAAAGTAGAGCGCAAAATGAAGATCAGCACTTAATCCTACAAAGCGGCTAACTAGGATGTTACAGAGCTGTAGATATTTAGAAAAATAGCTCGAGAACAGGAATTTAACTGAAGAACTGAAGCAATTTGCTTAGGAGGGAGTCATTAAACAAAATGGCAACTCCACCTTCTCTCTTATGCACTCTAGCTTCGCTCACGAAACTGAAGTTGGGACAGGGTAGACTTGATAAGGACAGCTGCACTGTTAGCTTGGTCCAACCAAGTTTCAGTTTAAAACATGAAATTAATTTTGAAGGCTACCAGCACACTGGGCCCCGGCTTGTCCTGGGAAGAGTCATGAGTGCACTTTTTCCTTATAGCTTGGACCTAGCACATATCAGTCAGAGATGACAGCATGGTGGCCTAGTGGAACAGTGGATTAGTGGATAGCACTGTGGCCTCGCAGCAAGAAGGTGCAATCAAAAACCCTGGTTGTTCTGGCCTTTCTGTGTGAAGTTAGCATGGTCAGTGTGGGTTTTCTCCCACTGCTCCGTTTTCCCCTACCATCAAAAACATGTTATGTAGGTTCTCCAGTCAGTGTCGTTTGACCTGGCAATCTGGAGTTGGCCCCTGGGCGCTATATAGTGGCTGCCCACATCCCTTTAGGGATGGGTTAAATGCAGAGGATGAATTTGACAATGTGACAAATACAAATCCATCCAATCCAAATCGAGAACTGCCGCCGCCATCAGAAAAGGATCAAGACACAAACTTTTCAAAGCCACCTTTCAAGCTAAAAGGAGGTGAGATTTAGATATTCAAAACATAAGCAAAGAAAAGGACAACAATATCCGGAATGGTGGCTGGTCAGTTGCACAGATGGACAATCAGGTGTTCAGACAGTTGCTCAGTTGTTTATAATCAAGGTTATAAACAACAGCACATCCTCCAGAGACTGCTAGGTGTATTTAGACTTGTTGCCTTGTTATAAAAGGGCCACTAAAATTGCCAGTACACAACATATTTCTCTAAAGTAAACAATAAAATGTTTTAACACTCCTCATGGAAGCCTTATATTAATGCATTGTTAGTTGAACTGTTCCAACTCCCCCTCAGAAAGAGTTTTTCAAGTGACTTCTGTCTGTGACTTTAAAGCTCTGGTGGCACAGTGTGTGTGTGTGTGTGTGTGTGTGTGTGTGTGTGTGTACATGATCTCAGGGCTGGCCTGAGGAGCTTTCAGATTGCAGCCTAATCTGTCTGGGGATCAACTGTCCCCAGAACTTCACCACTAGACACCTGTGTGTGTGTGTGTGTGTGTGTGTGTGTGTGTGTGTGTGTGTGTGTGTGTGTGTGTGTCCACCTGCCTGGAAAGCCTGCCTCTATAATGTGTGTGTATGTGTATGGTAAGTCTTTGTGATGAGAGAATGTTTGGCATATGACTTACTGTGACTTCACATGCGTGTGTGTGTGTGTGTTTGTTTGTGTGTGGGCTTGTTTTACTATATTTGTGGGGTCCAGAAACTGGGAGCCCACTAAACATGTGGGGTCCAACAGGGCTGTTTGAGGTTAAAGATTTGGTTTGGGGTTGGGGTTAGTATTAAGTTAAAGTTAGGGGTTAGATTTAGGAATTTTGTGATTGTTAAGGTTAGGATAAGGGGCTACGGAATACATTATGTTAATGACAGGTCCCCATGAAGATTATGACACAAGGTGTGTGTGTGTGTGTGTGTGTGTGTGTGTTTGTATGATAAACGAAAAGAGCAAAATTAGACGTCAGGTGTTTGTCATCCAAAGACAAGGGCATTCTAACTGCCGCTGTGAGAGATACACTCAGATAAAGACAGCCCGTCACATATAAAGACAGTTATTTGGGAATAACAACAAACAATTAAATCTCACTTCAACACACAGCTCTGTTTCATTGTAGTTTTGTGACCTTGAGTCGTTGATTCGTTTTTTGTGATGTCATCTTTATCACTGCTGAAAAGGCCCGGGAACCATCCTTGGTTTTCAGCCGGGTTTAGACAGTACCATGAAAGTAGAGCTGCTTTGTTGTGAGCAGCGGCCTGTACACTGACTCTGGAATACTGAGCACCCAAGAGCCCTTGGCACATACGCACCAGTGATAATGATACTGAGCTGGAAGCTGAAATAGTAGCAATGGGATTACCACCAGGTGTGGAAGGACCAGACCATCATAGTAAACCAACAGCAAGGCCAACAAAAAATACAGAGGCCTAACAGGAATTATGCCAGGTGCATAAAACACATAGTAGCCTCAAACAGACATGCCCTGGGGTCTCATTTATAAAACTGTGTGTAGAATCCTCACTAAAAGTGTATGTGCACCCAAACGCCAAAAATGACTTTTGCCAAAAAGTATTCAGACTTGTGTGTGTCTGTGCTTATGCACACTTTTAAGCAATGTTCCCTTTATAAATCACAATCACCTTGAAATGTGGTGCATGTGAGGGAGCCCCATGTACAACCCTTTAAACGACCATAGTTGCCCATAAATGATCAGTGAAGTACCCCTCATTAATATTAATATGTACTGACTGCATGAAGAAAAGGACGGCAAATTCTGACAAAAAGACATTTAACTCACTGTGACATTTAACCCATGTGAGTTGCCGTTTCTCATTTCTTCAGTTTATTTGTGTACGCATGCCTCAGAGTTTGCGTGGAGGACCGCACATTCTTCCGTCAAGTTTGTTGTTTATAGATCACAACCTTTGCTTGGGAAATGGCGTATGCACGTTTCCAGCCCTGTTTTGTACTTACGCACCATTTATAAATGAGGCCCCTGGTCCGTCAGTCTTTACACCTGTTTTGCATTGGCGAGGTCCTTCACTAAGACGAGATATGCCACCTTGACATATGACCATTAGACAAGACTGGATGTAGTTGAGTTTAGTAGCGTGTTTAACTTCATTCCACACAAATCCGTAAACCCGCATTGGTCATCATATTGAACCAAAAAATCAATTAATAAAAACTAAGATAGGTGTGTAGACAGATCATACAGCCACATTGGACACTGTATACATGTATGCATGTATGTATATGTGTACCTGTATATCACTTCCACCTCCGACATGTACATAATAATGATAATACTATTTTACTCCTGCATCCTTTGCACTCTGCTCACTGCACTATTTGTCAATATGTCTATATTGTTTTTTGCTCATAGTGTGTATATTTGCGCTGTCTACACTGTTGCCTGTGTCTGATTTATTTCATTATTGTGTTATTGTATTATTGTATTAGTACATCGCACATCATCAGCAATTTACAATCCTGAGTCAAATTCCTCGTATGTGTGCACATACCTGGCAATAAAGCTGATTCTGAATTAACTAAAACATATAATTTGGTAAATATTAAACTTTTTCTCTCATGTATGTTTTTATTTTCACTTACAGTTACACATTTTTTGCATAAGATGTGCACATTTTCACCATTTTTGTATTTTATATATTATATATTTTTCGGTCTGGATTTTGTTGCTAAATTTGTGCATAAAGCCTTTCATGTGTTCTGAGAGTTGATTTACTAAATATGGTTGTAACATTAAAACATAAAGACTTTAGTAATGTGTAAATCTGTTGCAAGGAAACCACTTAACAGTCTTAAGGGGGCAAACAACATCAAATTTAACTGACAATCATTTGTAAAATATATATATAGAGAGAGAAATGTATATATACACACACACACACACACATATATATATATATAAAATATATATATATAAAAAATAATTAGAATAAAATAAAATTAAATCACGAAAGGCTCTCCTATAAAAGTATGTTTTAAGAAGGGACTTCAAAGAGTTCACTGACTCAGTCGCCCTGAGTTCCTCGGGCAGGCTATTCCAGAGCCTCGGGGTCCTGACTGTAAACGCTCTGTCCCCTTTAGTTTTCAGTCGAGACTCTGGAA